AGACTTAAGAAATTATAATCATACTTTTTCTGTGTTGCATCAGGTTATTTTTAATGAAGGATAGCTTTCTAAAACTGTATTTTGTGATATCAAATATGACTCATACAGTTTCCGGTGGTCCTAACAAATGACTTATTTAGCTGTATTGAGAAAATGTTTAAAAAGGGAAGACAATTCAAAACACATCTTTATTTATTTGAATATACAGTAGGTTTGACAATTTTTACAATCAGAATATCTTTCATTTTCTTTCAGTTAATGACAAATACTATACGAATGCGCGACATCAGTCTCAGAAGTACAGAACAAAGATCTTTTACTGTGTTCCTTGACAAGGATTCCAGGCGAGCCTATAAGAATGTTATCAGGTAGCCTTCTTTAATGAGCAATAATTATTGATTCTTTTAGGTCAGTTTCTGAATTATGGAAATGTACAAAAAATTACTCTAAAAAGCATTCTTATTTTAAGCTTTCATAGTAATTAAAAATACTTTGGATATGTATGCTTAACCGTTCTGATCAGACATTCTAGGCTGTTAATCATCTCAGAAATTATGTCCACTGCAAGTATAGGTAGTCCTCACTTACCAACTGCTTTGTTTAACAACCATTTGAAGTTACAACAGTTGAAAGAAATCCAGCTTTGCATCCAAGTCTCACACTTACGCCCATCACAGCTTTGGCACTTCTCAATTGGTGCACAATCATGTCTGTTGCAGTGCCTCATATTCATATGACTGCCAGAATTATAGACAATGTTGAAGTGAAATTGCAAGTCACAGTCATGTGAGGTCTCACATAACAACTTAATTTGCTTAATGTTAGAGGCAGAACTGAAGTTATAAATCTGGCATGGTGACATGGTATTTTGCTTAGTGACTACAGCGCTTGGCGACAGAATTACAGGTCCCAATTTTAATCAGTAGGTGAGGACCCTGTATTAATGGGTATAAGATATCTTAACTCATCTTACAGGCCAATATTGATAAGTACCTTCCTACATCAAATTCACTAGGAAAAAAATAATTGAAAACAATTTCCTGAATCCAGGAAATTACAGACCTATCAGCCTGACCTCAATACCTGGGAAGATTCTGGAAAAGATATTCAAACAACAAATCAGCAAACACCTAGAGGCAAACAAAATCACTACTAAAAGCCAACATGGGTTTGTCAAAAACAGATCATGCCAGACAAACCTTATATTGCATTCTTTGACCAAGTGACAAAATTAATGGATCAGAGGAATGCTGTGGATATAATTTACTTGGACTTCAATAAGGCATTTGATAAAGTAGATCACAACCTACTACTCGATAAGATAGAAAAATGTGGGCTAGACCAGATGGATTCGTAGCTGGCTGACCGGCCGTACTCAGCGTGTGGTCCTGAATGGAACCGCATCTACATGGAGGGAAGTGTGTAGTGGGGTGCCCCTCTGTTCTGGGCCCAGTGCTCTTCAACATCTTCATCAACGATTTGGACGAGGGGATAGATGGGGAACTCATTAAATTTGTGGACGACACCAAGCTGGCAGGAATAGCCAACACCCCAGAAGACAGGCTTAAGATACAGGAGGATCTGGACAGACTTGAACACTGGGCGTTATCTAACAAAATGAAATTCAGTGGTGAAAAAAGTAAGGTTCTATATTTAGGCAAGAACAACCAAATGTACAGGTATAGTATAGGGGGTACCTTGCTCAATAGTAGTAACTGTGAGAGGGACAATCACTTAAATATGAGCCAGCAGTGTGCTGCAGCTGCCAAAAAAGCCAACACAGTGCTGGGCTGCATTAACAGAGGGATAGAATCAAGATCACGTGAAGTATTAATACCACTTTACAATGCCTTGGTAAGGCCACACTTGGAATACTGCATCCAGTTTTGGTCACCACAATGTAAAAAAGATGTTGAGACTCTAGAAACAGAGAAGAGCAACAAAGATGATTAGGCTAAAACATATAAGGAACAGTTGCTGGAATTGGGTATGTCTAGTTTAACGAAGAGAAGGACGAGGGGGGACATGATAGCAGTGTTCCAATATCTCAGGGGCTGCCACAAAGAAGAGGGAGTCAAGCTATTCTCCAAAGCACCTGAAGGCAGGACAAGAAGCAACGGATGGAAACTAACCAAAGAGAGAAGCAACCTAGAACTAAGGAGAAACTTCCTGACAGTTAGAACAATTAACCAGTGGAACAACCTGTCTCCAGAAGCGGTGAATGCTCCAACACTGGAAGTTTTTAAGAAGAGACTGGACAGCCAGTTGTCCGAAATGGTATAGGGTTTCCTGCCTGAGCAGGGGTTGGACTCGATGACCTCCAAGGTCCCTTCCAACTTTATTATTATTATTATTATTATTATTATTATTATTATTATTAATTCTAGCTAAGAGAGATCTATTTTTTTCCTCAACTTCATCATCAAATATAAATTATCATCAATTATACAGTATTATTGTGTGATTAGAATACATGGATTGCTAATTAAAAACAATGTCCAATTTTTTTAAATGATTTGAAATTAGAATTATATTTGTATCTTGGGTGTTTAGTAATTGAAACTGTGTTGTGTTTTTTTTTTCCAGTATTCAAGTGTTTCCTTGCCTAGAACCCAGCTACTGTTTGCAAAAGTCAAGAACAAAACAGACCAACTTGCAAGGGGAAGAAGGCGATGATATAGGACTGGCCAAATACTTACCTAAGTCTTTACTCTTACCCATCAATACTTTTGCAGGCATTATTCGATAAAGAAGCTGATAATCCCAACCTTTCAAATCTTTTGTTGAGTTTCATTAGGAATTATTCAGTGAAAGAAAGGTGTCAAGATGAAAAGAAAAAAAGCATTGTCAACAGAACAAGTCAGGTTTTTAGCAATAGAAAAAAAAAGATCCCATCCAATATAGGAAAATTTTGTAGCAATAGCATGTCAGGCGCAAGGAACCAGAACTACTCCATGAATAAGCCAAAACAGTTTCTTTATTGTTAATCACCTGTTTTTATAAGACTCTTGCCAGACTTGACCGCATTCGCTTGAGAACCGGTGAATAAGGGCTTCACTAGTCTGGCCTTTGTCGCTTCCTGCCACAGACTGATACAGTGCTGGTGCACCTCTTTACTCCCCCCTCTCCTTTAACCAGTGATTCCACCACATTGCATGAGATAAAGGAAAGTGGCTTCTGATGCAAAAGAAAACAAGGTATCAAATCTTTAAGCTACTATACTGTGTTTTCTTTGAATAAAGCAGTTCTCATTAATCAGATTAAGAAAGAATAGCTTTCATTTTATCATTTGAGTGGCAAATGTAATTAGATTCCTTACACAGAGGCTTTAGTTAAATCTCAGAGGCAGGTGTTGTCATAAATTTATCACAGACAAGCTTATTCTAAAAAAAACAAAACATAGATAAGCTTTGTCCCAAAGTAAAGAATTTAGATTTAATAAAGCAGGATGCAATGTTTCTTTCGTTAGAAAATAAGTGGAATAATGTGAAACAAATGTGTGCATGAATTCTTATAATATAATGGTAGTCAAGGAAACAAGAAAATTTGTAAATTGTATAGTGACTGCCTTTATTTCTGATTTGGCCCCTTTTGCTTTCAGCTATTCAGTACATTTCCAGGAATCTAGTGTTTATTTCAGCAAGTCTTGCATAGCCTCTCTGCTTGCTTCAGCCATCTTGACCCCAATTGTCTCATATTGCAAGAAACTTAAATTTGTTACTTGAATGCTCTGTTGTTATTTATCCCTCTTTCTCCTTTCATCCTAAAATAATGTTTTTGTGATCTTCTATCCAGTTGTTTTCCAATTTTATTGACATCTTTTCTCTGACCCTGGAGTTACCTTAGCCTGTTTCTCACTTAATCATGGTCCCTTGGTTTTGATCTTCTTTTATGTCCTGTGATTTTATGTCTCTTTTTAAAATTTCATTGATTCTCCCTTCACATTCTGTGTCTAAATAAATGTTTTTAATACACAAATATGTCCTTGAATCATCCCAGGTGAGTCCATGCAATTTTCTTGGCAATGTTACAAAATGGTTTGTCACTGCCTTCTTCAGGGTCTTACCTGCACCTCCACATCTTTGCAGTTTAGTCTACCCTGGAATTCCTAGACAATCCCTCATCTAAATATTGACAGGGCCAACTGCTTAGCTCTTAATATCAGCCAGGCTCAGTTGGCTGCTGCCCACTATTTGTGATTTTATTGAGGTCTATTACTATACAGATCTATTACACAAATTGTGATAATATATGAAACTCATTCTATTTTGCTGCACTGGTGATTTTGGGAGCTGTAATTTCATGAAATGCAGATAATCATACCTGAATCAGGTTGCTGAAGAATGCTTTGATTGTGAAGGCAACAGTAGGTGACCATTCTGAGGTACAGGTATTGTAGATGAAGGGATCATTCTGTATATGATGCACATGAGGATTAAACGATCAGAGTTGAATAGAGTTCAGGCGTATGTTCCTGCCTCCTACAGTATTCTTAAAATATTCTGTTTTTCATTTTGCTTACTGGTCCCCACTGGTTCTTCAGGATAATTTAGGAAATAATACTACTGGTAAAATGAAATGACAAAAATAAAAATTCTAGTAAAGTATCACCATGAATATCACAAGGGGAGAAAGTAATTGTTTTAGGGATGTTACAAAAGTTTGTCTGCTTTCTGCGGCCACTTCTATTACACTTTTTATATTGCTTTCTATTCAAACCTGATTTAGCTATTAATGCACACACACTCTTCCTATAAAACATGAATAGTTTACATGAAAGGAACAGACTGCAAGTTTTATGCAGCATGATGTTTAGAGTTCTCAGAAGCAGCCTTTATACAGTTTTGTCTTTCTATTTTTCTAAGTAATGGACAGGTATGTCCATAGGGTTCCATTCAATTGCATAATCCTTGTAAATAGACAAAAACTGAAATACCGAAGGGATCACAAACATTCAACAGAGCAATAATACAAATTATATAGGTTGAGCAATGATGGATGGAAAACAGATCATATAAAACTAATATTTTCATGAGCTGCTGTAAAGATCAATCTCTTTTTAAGAAATAAAAGATATAATTTTAAGCATGGTTTAAAGGGTTTCCTAAACATGGTGCTGCAGCTAAATGTTTACAACCCAAAAGTTATTAGATTGTTTTGAATATTATATCTGTATTAAATGGGAATGTACATTGTGTAAATACATTATAAATTATTTGTATAGATATAACATCTGCTGGAAAGTGGCAGTCTTTAATTTCATTAAATAACTTTTTAAAAAATTGAACGCTATGTGTTCCTGTCATTATTTTTCTTCCTTAAACAATCAGAGGTTATAAATTATTACAGTATATAAGTACCAGTGAACTGAGATATAAGGATCTAATATTGTTCCCAGAGTTACTAGAATTTGGGTGGGAAAGAAAGAAAGGAAGGAAGGAAGGAAGGAAGGAAGAGAGAGAAAAAGAAAGAAAGAAAAGAAAGAGGAAGGAAGGAAGGAAGGAAGGAAGGAAGGAAGGAAGGAAGGAAGGAAGGAAGGAAGGAAGGAAGGAAGATCACATGGAGGAGTCTTCCACTTAAGTCAAAGTGGCAGGATCTTTAGCAAAGCTAGTACTTTTTCACTTTATAATGCAATGAAATATAGTTTTGTGGGACTTTTTTTTTCTAAAGAGTTCAGTAGTTACATCAATTCAAACTAAAAGTAAACTGCACTAGTGAATAAATATATATCCCTTCCACCAAAATGATTTGGGGCCTTGGAATGTTGATGAAAAATTGCAACAAATTTTCATTCTAAAATAGAAACTATGATTTTAGAAGATGAGCCTTTAAATGCCAGTTTTAAAATAATAACAATCCTATCAATTGTGTTTAATTTCAACTTATCTTATACACAATTCTCTGGTTGTGACAGTAGGACAGTATAATGAGCCTAAAACTATACTTGATTGTCTCTATCTGAGCTATGATGTCCTTGGTAAACTTGGCAAGGACTCGTTATGGTACCATATTTTGTTACTGTTAAAGATTATGAAACTTATACAAAAGTTTCACAGTAAGACCATTCGCTCTACTTCATTTACATTTTTACTGATTTGAATGACAGTTACATGTAAGTTTTCACAGTTAGCTGCTCTGAGAAAAATTGATCATGGTTGCAAGATGCACGAATTGCAAGCTACATGTTTAGTAAAAGAAATCCTTAGAAGGGGCAGTACAGTAACAAAATAAAGATAAATATTAGAAGGAGCACTATATGACAAGCCAAAAGTAAATATTAGGAGTGGCAACAATTACAGGATAAGAGAAAATTAGTAGAACAGAGATAATGTATTAAGGGGTAAAGCAGGTATACCTAGGACAGGGGTAGGCAACCTCGGCTCTTTTATGACTCATGGACTCCAACTCCCAGAATTCCTGAGTCAGCATAGCTGACTCAGGAATTCTGGGAGTTGAAGTCCATGAGTCATAAAAGAACCGAGGTTGCCTACCCCTGATCCTAGGAAATGGAAGCAAGAACAGAAACTGAAGATACGCGCTTCTCTGCCCATTTCAAGTCCTTTTCTTTCCAACGGGACCCTGTTTGTTTTCCCAGCGAGCAAGAATTTGAAATTATTTAAGAGTAAGACGCACTTACCTTTGGAGTGAGCCCGTAAAGTATTTCAAATCCCGGGAACAACTATGCGAGCGTCGGAAGGAAGACTTTGCAAAGGGCAGGAAAAAGCGGAAGGGAAGGCAAAGCTGGGTCTCCGGTAAAAAGGAGGCTGAGAAGGCGCCTGATAAAACGTGGCCAGGCGCCTTTTCGTACTTCCCAGAATGAGTCCTCGTATCCTAGCAATGGTTTGTCCCTCCCCTCCGACGGAGGATGAGGGAGCGTTCCAGCAGCGGCAGCAGGTGTACACCACTGACAGGTACCCTGGCGCATGCGCAGTCGGCGTGCTCGGGACCGCAGGCCGCCCAGAGTAGCGGAAGAAGCCGATTGCCCGTTTGCTTTCAGGTAGGGGAGGCCCCGTGTCGGCTGCTGGAGTTCAGCGCCAGAGAGGCGGGCGGCCGCAGAAGTTGCCATGGCAACGTCTCCAAGGTGCGGGGCTGAGGAGGGGGGTCCCCCGCGGGCACGGAGATGAGGGGTGGGGGGGAGGCGCCGCCCGGGTGGGGCGAGGCTCTGGTGCGGCTGGTGCTGAACGGGGTGGGGGGTGGGGGTTGGAGGGTCAGGTTTCCAAGGAGGACCCTTCACTCACGGGCATCCCGAGGGTGAATGGCCAGAACTGGAATCGACCATCAGAAGTCCACGGCCTCGATTTGCACAAACCAGGAGAGAATGGGCGGACTATTGTCTTGATTGGCAACCGTCCTATCGCTGTGATTCTCAAGAGTCCTTTAGCTTTTCCTAGAAAGATGACAGGCAAACCACTGAGATTAGAATTGGCATTATTGGCATTAGAATAGATTGCTGTTAATATACGGAAAGGACTGTTTTAAATGGCTTGATAGGCAAGGGCTTTCTAACAAAATGCCCCCCCCCTTTTTTTTTGTTAAACACATCGTTCTCTAAAATATCCTTTTTGTTTGTGTGTGTGTGTGTGTGTGTGTGTACTGAAAGTGACACAAGGTTACATTATATATAGGCACCAATACTGCCTTTGTAAAATGTGGAGGCTATGGTTTTTACATATAATGGCACAACTGGAGCTACAGTTGGAATCTGGTTATTTGCAGGATTATCAATCTCATTGTCTCTGCTCATTCTGTAAATTCCAGCAGGGTTGACATCCTCCCAATCCTATCAATTAGATGATGTCACCTGATGGGAGGCAGGAGGCCTGTCTTCT